TTTTTTTTTTTTTTTTTTTTTTTTTTTTTTTTTTTTTTTTAATAAAACACTTTCTTAGACTAGAGAAATCATCTAAAGAAATTTGACTCTGAACAATAAGCTCCATCCACCTCTTTAACATTGATACTCTGTAACTCATGATCAACAGGTCCCATCAAAGAGGAACGTTGCTACTTAATACCAGGCCAACTCGAATGCATAAAATAATGGCGAGGAGCTTATTGCACAGTCAGATATCTTGAGAATAGAGGTACTTGCCAATAACCATATACAGAGCAAGAATGTACTTGGCTCACTCTGTAGCGAGCTGTTACCGTAGGTGTACTCGAGCATCAAGCCTTGCATCGTATTGGTTTTGCTTTTTGGGCTGGAAATCCTTCATTGCTTGTCCACTTATATATACGGATATATATGTATATATATGATGGATATTCTTTCACGTGTACGTATCTCTATATGCATATATACATATATATAAGTATATATATAGATGAATAGGTGGATAGGGATGTGTACTAGTGAGGAAGGTGTGCAAGTGCTATCCTTATACCCTGAGCTTTTCTGTCCCTCAAAGAACCACCTCCTGGATAAATCCGGCAAAATTTTGGAAAAAAAAAAAGAGAGAGAGAGAGAGAGAGAGAGAATAAGGAAATATACAGTAAAATTGTGCCTTAACGATGGACGTTGGCGTTTGGATGGTTTGCGGGAAAACAGTATTTGCACTTTTGCAGTATGCAGCGCACGGTATAAAACCAGACCTGGTCTGGTCTACCATTACGGTCATTCCCACTCTACTTCCTCTGGTGATCCTGCTAAGGAACTAAGTCCCAGTCCTGCTGAAGTTGAATCACGGAGCGTTGCGGACGCCGCTGCTTCGGACCAGCCAGGTTGGAGCCAAAATCAGCTCAGTTTTCTCACAGTCCTCTTCCAGCCAGCCTCCTCAACACCATCCTTGCCATTAATCTTCTTCCACGTGATCCTCGTTTTTTTTTATACACACATATATATAGTTTTTTAACTTTATTTTTCTAAATCCAAATCACATAATCATTCACATATATACCACCTCTGAGCTCTCTCCTAACATTAGATAAAACATATTGAGCGTGTCTATTGCAAACGGTAATGATTAAATATTTTTATTACCTCTGTTGTCTTCATCCGAACGTAATTCTTGTGTCTGTTTGTCGTACGATGCCAATAATTCCAGTGGTGTACAAAGAAATTGTATTTATTTATTTTTTTTTTTTCCCTCTCGCAAATACGAGGGTAACGATTGCATTTGCATCACTTTCATTATTCTTTCCGTTGTTCGCCAAGTGTTCTCTGTGTATTGTACAGTTTCACCATTGTCACTTTCTACAGTAGCGTCTGTCCTCTAGTGATCGTATACGCGGAATCAAAGAGTTCGTTGCGGGAGATCCATGGGTATCGTTTGGCAAGATTAATATTGATTTAAAATAGCATTTCGTGATATCAGTTACCAGTGGGAATGTACTGTCAGCCAGAAACACCTTTGTCGCACAGTATCATGTAGTTTGCAATAACATTGCTACGCCATTCTCACATTCTTCATGAGGATCCACGAATTCATTGATTACACTGTCCTTCTTCTTCTTCTTAATCTGTTACTATTAATTTTCTGTACGTCAACTTAATGTTCTGTGGCATACTCGTGTCGTACGAGTGTTTGGTATGTACGGGTGCGTGTGTACTTTTTGGTAGATCCCTCTCCCAGTCATCTTCTTCAGCATGTGCTCTATTTGCCAGACAGGTATATCTAACAACCTTCGTCGACGGATACGTTTAATTTGCTCTTATCGATGCTTCTCTGACTTCTAGAATGTCCTTTTGGGTTTTTACTCGTACTTTTTTTCTCTTTTTCTTCATTTCCTGCCACCGAATGCCGAGGCTTCGCTAAAAAAGAAAACAAAACGAGAAACAAGAGAAACAACGACACGTAACAAGCTGCGCGCTTGCAGTTGGTGATAGTTAAATTGCAGTTGGCTTCGGGAATGTGACGGCAGGGGCTGAACCTCAGAGTGAAAATAAGTATACCGAGAGAGAGAGAGAGAGAGAGAGAGGGCTTTGTGACGAGGCAGTGGGTGGGTGGGGTCAGGTCAGTGGGAAGCGAATAGGAACTGTGGGAAAGAGAGAGAGAGAGAGAGAGTGCGTGCGTGTGTGCTCAATCTGTTATCTGGTTTTGCAGTCGGTGGTGGAATGTATTGACCAAAGTGCACCCCATTACGTTTTACATCTATTGTTTTGATTCTATCGTGTCAGTGGTTTGGTTTTCCTGAACTTGCCGGCGATCCCCTTCCGTCGATCAAGGTCCAGCCCCCTCGTATCAGGACCACGTAACCAGGGTACCTGCCCTTGTATGGGCACGCGTTGTAACCCCCGACCTTGATCCAGGAAGCCGATCGCCGGCGAAAAGCATTTCTATATTTATGACTAAGCGTAAGTTATCGATCGGCCAGTGTGCATGGTTGTTGGCTAGTAAGGCAAAGCGCAACTGGGTATGTGGTCGGTTTGTGATTAGGTGGTACACGTCGGGGTCGTCAGAGCACTGCCACCTCGAGTACCTCGACCCCACCTCCTGCAGCACCCACCGCCCCTGCTGCAGGGGCGGCGCCACAGTCCCAGCAACAACAGCAGCAACAGCTGCCCCAGGTACAGACGAGTACAGCTCCAGCTTCACCTACTGTCTCAGCTCCTAAAGAAGATCATCCGCCGGCCGTCTCGTCCCCTGGCGCCACCGCTGTCCCCTCTCCCTCTTCGGTCAAGCCGGACGGTGGACCCCCGACGCCAGGCGGGACCGAGAAGAAATCCGGAAAGGCCGCCCAGCCCTCTCCCTACTGCGACTTCTGTCTGGGCGACGCTAGGGAGAATAAAAAGACCGGTGGCTCCGAGGAGTTGGTCTCCTGCAGCGATTGCGGCCGCTCAGGTAAGCTAGAGGAAAAGAGCAAACGCAAGTATGCACGACGGGCAAATCATAATTGAATGCCGTAATTTAGACGGAATACTCGAAACAGCCATACCCATTGTTTACCCTCGCGACTCCGACGACCCTCCCCAACAACAGCAACCGACGGCAACAGCAATCGCCAACCTAGACTATCGATAATTTCTCTATTTGCGTCGGTCCAGACCAATTGATCCGTGTGCGGCCTTACTCTTCTTTAGTCTCTCCGGATCGTGGTGAGGATGGGTCGCCGAATTTTCTTTTTTTTTTTTTTTTTTTTTTTTTTTTAATGTTC